GAGTGAGAAAGCAACAGGATCTGAAGATATACCGGCTGAAACACTGAAGCCACACACAGAAGTAACTGCAAGCATATTTTCTATTCTATTCAGAAAGATTAGGGAGGAGGAACAAGTACCACAGACAGACTGGAAAGAAGGACACCTTATCAAGATATCAAAGAAAGGAGATCTGAGCAAATGTGAAAACCACAAAGGAATCACACTACTGTCAGTACCAGGGTAGGTTTCCAACAGAGTGTTGCTAACCCAGACGAAGGCGCAGTAGACGCCCAACTTCGAGATCAATAGTTCGGGTCCCGTAAGGATCGGTCGTGCACAGACCGAATTGCGACATTACGGATCATCGTCGAACAATCAGTTGAATGGAACTCGTCAATATACATCAACTCCGTTAACTATGAGAAGGCGTTTGACAGCGTGGATAGGAGAACATTATAGAAACTCCCTCAACACTATGATGTACCTGAGAAAACCGTCAACGTCAAACGGAATTCATACGACGGACGACACTGCAAAGTGGTGCATTGAGGACAGCTGACTGATGCATTTGAAGTGAGAACCGGAGTCAGACAAGGTTGTCTACAGTCTTCCTTCCCCTTTCTTCTGGTGGCCGACTGGATTATGAAGACCTCCACATTTGAAGGGAACCACAGAATAAAATGGACAGCTCGGATGCAACTAAACGATTTAAACTACGCAGATTATCCGGTGCATTTATACCGTACAAACCAACATATGTAGTGTCGCAGCAGACTCTGCATCAGTAGACCTCAACATACACAAGCGGAGAAACAAAATCCTCAAAATACAACACAGCGAGAACCAAACAATCACACTTGACGGAGAAACTCTGGAGGAAATGCAATCCTTTACGTACCTGTGTAGCATCATTGATGAACGAGGAAGATCCAATGCAAATGTAAAGGTGAGGATTGACAAAGCAAGAACAACATTCCCACAATTCAACAAAATATGGAACTCAAAACAACTGTCAACTGATATCAAAATCACAATCTTCAATACGAACGACATGACAGTTTGTTCTACTGTGTGGAGTTGAAACTTGCTCAACTACTACAACCATCATCAAGAAGGTACAAGTAATTATGAACAATTATCTATGTAAGATAATGAATGTCCGTTGTTCGTATACCATCAGCGACAGTGTACTGTGTGAGAGAAGAAACTAGTTTCCATGTGAGTGGGAAACTAGGTAGAGACGATGGGAATGGATAGGACATATATTACAGAAATCACCGAACTGCGTTTCGAGGCAAGCCCTCACGTAGAATGGTGAAGGGAAGCGAAAAAGTGGAAGACCATAGAACACATTACGTTTGGAAATCGAAGCAGATATGGAGAGAATGAATGACAAGTGGAAGGAGCTGGAAATGATTTTTCAGGACATGATTGGATGGAGAATGCTGTTGGGCGTCCTATTCTCCTTTATGAGGGTAAGCCAGCACAACTTAGATGAACAATTTACAATTCGCGTTGACATTTCACTGATGATGTGTGTCTTTAAAATCTATGCCAAAAAGACTATCTGATATTAAAGCTTTTTTAATGATGTGGAGGTAATTCATAACCGTTAGGTGAATGTTAAATTTTATTAAGAGGATGATCAGTTCCTTCATGTTTGTATAATTATAAATGCAATTATTGAATTGGACAACGATCTCTCAAATAATGTACTTGCTTTTGAGAAATCCATGATTATCTAATACTTTACTTGACTAAAAGGAAAGTTTAGTAAATAAGTATCTTGACAGAAAAAGAACACTTCCGTTATATATTTATCATTAGGTTGAATTCGTCTATCACTATTTATCTAACGTAGTAGTGAAAGTTTTGATACATTTCGTATTTGTACTACAGATTTCACAATAATGGTCAATTATGATCATATGGTTGATGACACTAAGATATTTATGATACTTATGACCTTGCCGATAAATACCTCCAAGTGTGTTGTGATGCATATCGGTCATCAAGGTACAGATACATACATGATGAATAATACTGAGCTACCTGTTGTCCAGACACATAATGACTTAGGAGTCATCGTTAGCCAAGACTTAAAGATTACTGCACACTTCCGTGTAATAGCCACCAAAGGTTTTAGAACCTTATGGTCAATACGTAGGGCTTTTAGTCATGTTGACGCTAAAACGTTTCTGACTTTGTTTACAGTGTTCGTACGTCCTTAACTTGAGTACTGCACATAGGTAGCTAGCCCCTGCTTAAAAAGACAGTGAGCTTTTGGAAAAGGTTCTTAGAACAGCAACTAAGCTTATTCCCAGAATGAAAAGCTTCCGTATGATGCTCGACTGGCGAAGCTAAACCTATTCCTGTTGTTATAACAAAGAACTAGAGGCGACTTGATTACAGTTTTAAAATTGCTTAGTGATAAACTTGCACCTGATATGCCCTCATTTTTCTTGTCTTCCAAAACAGAGGATTCACGAGGACACTTCAAAGAAGTCCACAAACCCAGAACAAATTACTTGTCAACTGACTATCGACTTTCCCATCGAATCATCAACGAATGGAATTCATTATCTCAGCACGTGGTTGAGACTCCATCCGTCGACTCTTTCAAAAGAAGGTTGGATCAACCGAGAGATGACCATTGCCAGGATAAACACAAGCCGTCAAGCATTCTGTCCTTTCCAAACTGTATTAAAATACTCTTTTTCAATAATATTCCAGCTTTAAAGATTCTTTTCACGAAACTAGGCATTCACATCCAAAATGGGTTTATAGAATCTTAATGTAGTGTTTGGTGAAAGAAAACCAACTTGTCTTTTATTATGATGTACGTAATGTTTTTTATTATTACGTTGGGCGATGGTGTGTCAATCTAGACTTCTAACCAGTTAATATTTGATAAAAAGTAGTATTATTAATTCCCAAAGGATAGTCACCCCTTAGACTGATATTGTTCCGTTTCATATTCCGATTAATTATATAGCTATCGAAGATGCGAATGAGGTATTAATAATAAGTTGAACTTTCTCAAGATGTAGGATTCTTTGAAAAGTTGAAGTATATTTTATTTTGACCTATTCACACGTATAATTATTATTACAACTATAATTATATTGATTTAATTTCTTTTTTTAATTATATGTATTGTGCGTCATCATTTTCATAGATCCACAAAAAATGTTTACTGTTTTAGTGTTTAACATATAAAAATATTATAAGTATAGGGTTGTGGAGATGGTTGAGATTTTATCAAGATCATGAACCAATCAATGTTAGACCACCATTGAAAAATCGGAAGCACTGGATAGCCATTTCGTCCTCACATGGCATTCCTCATCAGTGCCCATCCACGATCCTACATATGGGATTCGAAATCAGAACCTTTGGTCTCGCACACGAACGCTTAACCTCTAGAACAATGAGCTGGTATCCAACAGTGTTAATGTCTAACTTCAAACGATCCATGATCTTGCCCAACCGTTCGTTCATTGTCTTCAGTGGTAACTGCCACACAGCCAACACAACCTAACTCTACTCGTCATGGCTTTGCTCTAGAACACCGAGAACTGATTCTGATGTGTTCCATATTAGAGAAGAACGGGCGTCCTGTGCTCCCAGGTTTTCAATGTTGGTCTAACAATGATTGGTTCATAATCTCAATATGTAACTATGAGAGTATGTTAGCGTAAACCTTCAAGAGATGTTATTTAGAGTAAACATTCTTCTCTTTTATGTTATTCATTTTATTATGATTAATAGATAATTCTATTTACTTTAAAACAAGATGTCTGTTAATTAGCCCATTATATTTTATTTTCTCAGCCATATGTCTTACTAAACATACAGAACGTTCAATATGACGATGGTCTTATTTTAGATCACTATTAAATATTTGAACGTGTTATATGAATTTATAATTGCTTTTCTCTCATATATGACGAAGGTACTGTTCAGAAGTTTCATTGGGTTGAAATTTGTTCAGATTTGAACATAATTTTCATCATTAGCTGATATCAGTTCCAAAACATTTAATTAACTGAGACCAGATATCGTTTTCAGGATCAATATCAAGAAATATTTTCAACTCAGATTAATTTGTGAATCATTGGGATATGCATCCAAAGCTTTGAGTGATTGTCTCCTTTCTACTTAATGAATCATACTTCCTGTGACACTTAGGAGTCCTTTGTTTAAACTTTATCCGTGTTTAATAATGACCAGTCTCAAGTCTGCGACAAAATAACTATTTTAATTGCACAACAGCTTTTGAAATTCTGTAAAATAAATGTGAATTAACTATGGGATATTTGAAATTATTACAAGATATACATCGATAATATTTCCATCCAAATATACTCACGAAAAAAAATGTTCTTTAAACTCAAAAAAATGGATTAATGAATTCAATTACTTCCGCATGTCAGAATAATCAAGGGGAAAAAAATGCTATCTAGTTATAAATAAAAATGTACCAAGTTGGATATAATACATTGATGAAACCTCCATCTCTCCCCACCCCCAAAGAAAAGTAAAACCTACAGCACTATAATTAACTAATGCTAATAAACGGTATGTTAAAAACGTATTAGACAAACAGGAAAATTCAATTGAAAAATCTATTTTTGTTACATTGTTGACTGTATAAATATTCATTCATTCATGGAATAATAACTAAATCTACATGCGTGGGTTTGGTTCTTTTCTTTTTTTACTTCGATCTTATAGTATTTATATATAGATTTATTTGAGTGTATGTATATTATTCTATTTCTGATTGTTAATTCTGTATACATTGCCCAAATATGAATGAATTTAAACGAATGAATTCAAAATAACCGATGGAAAAAATGGACGAATCTGTGAGTAAGTAAGTACGGACACGCAATAGTAAATATGATTGTATAAACAGTTATCTATTACTTTAGAATTTGTTTAGTTTACTATTTACTGATTGGTTGTCTGAAATAGTCAGTTCACCATATACGAGGACATTGATTATGTAAAACAAAATATTTTGATCCTAAGTATTATTATAATAAATAATAAAAAAATAGTATATCGTAATTCATTCCTTCGTTGTATTAATTTAGAAAAGAAATAAAATGAAGCAATTCTATTCATCCTCATTTGATGAGACATAAAAACTATAAGAAAAACTACTTTTGTAGAGAATTCTTTAATTAAATCTATTTCATTTAGTATTCATTGCTTTGAGATATTAGTCAGAAATTGTGATCATTTCATATGAAAAGGTAAGTGATAATTATAATTAAAATTTTGGATAATAATAATAATAATAATTGGATCTGAAATCTTTATTAGCTTATTAAAAGAACTTAATGGTGAGACTATAATTTATGAACGACCTTTGAGCTAAGCTGAACTGACCTTGAGAGCGTCCACCTAATATCTATGACCAAATGAGGGTTCTAAACCTGTGTGAGAAATTAGAATTGTTTTACAGTTTTCGGGTTTTTATCACGAACTGACATCAGCTATAATACCAAAACTATTTAACTAAATTGGATGAGTGAATTTCTCTCCTATATCCGAGGCCTATTATCTTATACCTTATTGGTTCATCCATATATTATAGTCTCGTCAACTTAATAACAAATACAAATAAAAGATATAACCAAATAAAAAAGCAGCAAGAATGAAAATTGATAAAGAATAATATGAATTTATTTTATTTCGTTAGATTCTCATCAGTTGTTTGCAATCTAAAATATTTAAAAATCAACGTTATTACAGATATTGACATACTTATAGATACGAAGGTGATTAGAGATGAATATGTGTATCATGATGTGGTGAAGATTCCGATAGAGTTAATGGGATCATAAAAAATCTGTTTTGGATCATCTCATTTTTGTTAATTTCATGAGTTCGAATCATTATTATTTCAATGTTCTGAAACTTTTCCTCTCAAACTTTATTTATTCGAAACAAACGATTTTTATCTTCACTACATCATGATACACATATTCATCTCTAATCACCTTCGTATCTATAAGTATGTCAATATCTGTAACAACGTTGATTTTCAAACATTTCAGCTTGTAAGCAGCTGATGAGGACCTGACGAAATCAAATGAATTCATATTATTCTGCAACAATCTTTGTTCTTTCTCTTCTTTAAGATAATAAAAGGAACTATGTGTATGAAAAGAAAGAAAAATTTAACTATGTTTTCCTCACTGAAATAATTCTTTGAATGAATAAATTTTTACCATTTTATTTAAATATCAGTTCAACGTTTTATTGATTTACTTGTTATCATAATCAGATTGATTTGATTTTTAAACTAATCGAGAACGCTACATTTGTCTTATGAAACAACTTAGAATAGATGAGAATTGTTGGTAATAAATAGTCAGTATTGTATTATACATTTCGGCGTTTTGGTTACTCATGAATATATATATATATATATATATATATATATATATATATATATATATATATATATATATATATATATATATATATAGTGACACGATAGGAAATAATTTATATGAAAATAATATTCGTCTTAATTAGAGACTGAATTCAACATAAATCTCTATCAAAGTTCTACGTTGGGAATTAACAATATGATTAACCAGGTTCAAAATGGGAGTATTTCGTAGATAAGGAAAAATCAAGATCGAAATATATCACATTTTAAATGCAAATCTGAACTCAAACTGTTGAATTACATTTCAATAGACGAAAAATACTGTTTTTGCTGATATACCTAGAACCTATGAGCTGAGTTACATTTTATTAAACAATCAATTCGGATTAATAAGAACTCTTAAACAGAAAGCTATTCGGTATCACCTAGTTTTCAGTGGTTTTGCCACATTGGTATCTTTACTATAATTGTATTATATAAATTTTGAAGAAATTCATCTGTTTTGTTATCTTCCTATTATTTTTTTATATTTTTACTAATAGTTCCTCAGATCAATAACCTCCTAATACTGTAAGAGATACATATTATCTAGCTTACTTTATTGCTTCAAGGCATTTTTGTTCTTGAATAATGTCCAAAACGAGTGTTTGTTTAAATTATGTTTAAGTGACTAAACATATTTTTCCATTATCATTACGTATCAGTAAAGTTATACAATATCTTCTGTTTATATTGATTGATTCCAAATTTTGATTGTCTAACAAACCAGAATGATTTCAAAATATAACCGGTCAGTATCAGTGGTAAGCGTTTGCAAAATACGTTTTCCTCTTAGTTTCATTCAGCAGTTTCAGCCATTATCTTTAATAAGATACGTTTGACATTCAGAGTACAAATTAAGCTGACCAGAATATATTATACCATCAGATTGTAAATGCTCATTTAGTTTGTAATTCAAATCAATAGACATTTAACAACTTAACATTGCTAAGACAATATTTATATCAACTAGTAACGGTGACACTGACTTACACCAGTCATCCATTATAGGAACATAGACCGCCGACCAGGATTCTTCATCGAACTCTGTGTTGGGCAATCCTTTCGACGTTTTTTTCAATTGGCATTCCTTCTTTTAATGTCTGCCTTTAATTATAAACAAGTAAGAGTTAAATTCCACAATGAATACAAAACTATTTTAATAAAACTTTTAATTTTGTTTGTCATTAGTACTTTCCTCATTATCATCATCATTCATCATTTGAGCAAGACTGACTTCGTAATAACTATCTAATTCATCACTTCATTCGCCATGTCAATAAGAATTCTTTGTAGTCGATTACTTCATGATTTATTTTGCTTATTTAATTTTTCCTTGGGAAAAGTAAATTAGGCTATTATTTCTTACCAGTTAACTGAATCAATACTTCTCTGTTTCACACATAATCATATCTACAAAACTTCTACTTATTGTTATGTACAGGTAAAATGTTTCAAATTTGAAGGAAATTGGCTTCAACACACTGGATTTGTTGTTCTTACTTTAAAAACATTCATCAAGGGTATTAAGTATATGAAAAATTTGAGACTGTGCCACTAATGGGCTAAACATAATTTAGTAAACCAAAACAGTTAGAAATTACTTCCATAACAACAAAAGATTCTATATCTTTGAATTTTCAGCTTATTTGTGTAGCAAGAGTTCTTAGATCACATTGATCACTTCGTTTATTATTTTATTATTTATTTGAACACATAAATATTGGTTCAAAGGGGCACCGAATACATATGCTCCACACAAGTCACTTCATTTGTGTGTGGGCTATGATACTACTCGGATGCCCAAACCGAAGCAAATGGTTTTCTTAGGGGGTCACACCCGGAGCCTTCGACCTAAACGTTTGATCCACAAGACAGTAGAGCAACGTCAGGAAATGCAGTCTCATAATTGCCGGTGATCAATAATTGCTTCATACGTCATTTATGCCCCCAGGATCCTGGAGCCCATGTCCACCATTGGTTTGGAATCAGGGTTTCCAAACTCCATAGCTAGACCTGCTCTATCCACTGACCCGGTTAAAGCTCCGAACACTGGCATTTTCTTCTCTCAATTCAGTAAACAACAATCGCGCCGCAAGAAGAAATTCAGTAAGACTTCCCTGGTAGTGACTGTATACGCGTGGCCATGTGAGAGTATTTCGAAAGGGAGACCTGACTCTCCCCAACACCGGCTGTACCAGGGTATTTGGGGACCTCACTGAACACATAGTTTATTGATATCTTAATTTCCATAACAATCTACCTACTGAAAAACAATTAACAAATAATAGAAATATAAAAGATGAATTAAAATATAATTTCCATTAGTAATGATTAACTGATTAAAATCTAATATTATTGTGATCTAAAGTTTTTTTATGTTCTACAGTTAATTTTCTTTCTTTTTTTTAACAAAACATAATCAAAATACTTTTAAATTCTGATATTATTTAATATAAACACAATTTGTAATTGTACCATTTCTATTAATTAAAGCTGTGGAGAAGACTAGAACAGAATTAAAGTTTATATATCTATCATGTCATATTATCGATTTGATTCAAGTTCTGTATTGATTACGTTTTCAGCAGTACTCTGCAATCTAAAATAGCCAATTCGCTTCTAACTGTTATATTACATGGAAAAAGGGATGATTATATTGATCGATCCTTTCGATATGGTAGATAAATACTACTTTATACGATTCATTGTTACTTTATATATATATATACATATATATATATATATATATATATATATATATATATATATATATATATATATATATATATATAGAGAGAGAGAGAGAGAGAGAGAGAGAGATGTAATGCGACTTCATAAAATCATGTGGATAGAAACTTAAGAAAATTATAAAAATGTACAAACCAGATCTCGAAGATACAATATCACTGATTACTTGATTAAATTAGGTAGTACATAAGGGAGCAAAATAAAAGTCGGAGAAAGTGAATTATAGTATATTTAAGCAAACAAGAAATATATTTTAAATAATGTTTCTATTTAGAAATTAAACATAATTATCTTTACAACACCAGAAATAACTTCTTACGGACTTACTAGATATTAATTTTTTAATTGCGAACATAACAAACACTTAAATGGCATCAAATATTCATTAATTTTAAACAAATAAAGATACAAATTGGCCTCGGTGGAGTTTTGTTTTCTGAGTTGAATGGCTTGGTCATGGATCTTTCATCGTTATTCTGAACGATATCATTAACACAAACTTCAGGTAGTAGTGTAGCGTTTGATTTTCACTACAAATGGCTGATAGCTTGTTCTGTAGACCTCGATGTTGATTGGTTACTGTTGACCTTTAGGATCAAGAATCAAATCAATGGGATATACAATCAAAAAGATGTAAACAATGACAGATTAAAGGTCAACAAGATTCAATCAAAATGGAGGTCTACAGAACAAGTTGTGAGCCATATATGGAGAAATTCAAACACTACACTACTACCTGAAGTTTGTGATAATGATATCGTTCAGAATAATGATGAAAGCTCCATGACTAAACTATCCAACTCAGAGAATACTCCACCAAAATCATCCACCTGAACTACAAATCTTCACCATTTCACAGAAATCGATCTTTACAGTTCTATTCATATTTCATTTTGATTATATGATATTATTTCGTAGGAAATATTGGATTTATGATAAGAATTACCTTACATAGTATTCAAACTTTAATATATAATAACGTTTTAAGTAAAAAGAAAATGTGAAATGTTTGACTATTGTAAATATTTAAACAAAACCATATTTTATTGAAGTAATGAGATGATATAATTCATTCACCTCTCTCTATAAACTATATTATTCAGCTTTTCGCGTTAACTTTTTGTTGTATAATATAATTAGCTAATATAATAAATAAATTCAGATCGACCAGGTGATAATTATATATTAACGACTGTATAAAGCAGATTTTATATTTCGAGTGTAGATGAAATTATTTATGATTCAATATTTCACAGATTGGAATCATGAGTCAATTGAAGTTAGACCATCATGGAAAATCTGGAAGCACTGGACGGCCGTTTCGTCCTAGTATGGGACTCCTCAGCAGTGCGCATCCACGATCCCGCCCCGTGAGATTCGAAACCAGGACCTGTCAGTCTCGCGCGCGAGTGCTTAACCGCTAGACCATTGAGCCGGCATCCACCGGTGTTAATATCTAACTTCAACCAATCCACGAAGTTGTGCCACTGTACGCCAATATCTTCAGTGAGCTGACATCTCACAACAGACCTGGTTGAACTCCACTGGTAACGGCTTCCCACTAGAACTCCAGGAGTATCTCTTGAAGTCGGTCAGATGATTATTATCAGAAGGGGTTTTGTGGAGATTTTAGAAATTTCACAGATTGGAATCAAAAAATCTCTACAAACCCCTTCTGATTCAATATTTATTTTGTAATGAAATAACTATCTATTAATAGATAAATAACTAAGAATTCCGATATATTAACCATTAATCTATTCGTTTCTTTTTATTTCATGATTATAACAAATCAAAATCAAATAAATGAAGTATGCCACTTACACAGAATCCATTAAATGAAACAATCAATACAGTGCAAATAAATGATGATCAAATGACAGAAGTGGTTTGGTTTAAAAGTTCAATAGTTAAAATTTTATTATTTGTACTTGGAGCAATTTTACTGTGTTTCATTGTGTTGATACTTTTAGCTACAGCTTTAATACATACAGCATGGTTTCTTCGAAGAAGACGTTCTATTCATAAACGATTAGATTCATCAAACAGATCAAAATTAGAAATGAAAGATTATATGTTACATTATTTCTGTTTTGCTGTCGAAGCGCTTGCAATAAACTCTGTAAATGATAGTGAAGCTTCGTTAAAGCATACAAAATTTTTTGCTTGCAAAAAAAGTGAAAATTCCTATGAACAACCATCATTACCTTTACGATTTCAACCTGAAAAACTATATGGAACGACAACTATATTGCACAAAGATAAAAGTCGAAAAGGAAGTTGTATTAATTTACCATTTCACCCACAAGAAAATCAATTTAGAAAGAAGTCTATGCTTGATAGTTTTGTATTTTCCGACCAGAGGAGATATTCTAAGCCGTTGGATTCAAATAGCTTGTTAAGAAGCAACCTCTCTATCAATCACTCTCATTTAGCCGGTAATGAGAAAAATTCCTCTGAATTAATAAAGTCAGTAATAGCTTCGAAGTTGGAACCACAGGATATTCCACAACGTTTTTCAATTTTATCTAATCAATCTTCTTTCGATCGAAATAGTAGTCGTAAAACATCAGTATCGACTGATGATACAAAGTGCTGTGCTCCAAATGAAGGGGATATATGTCTTGCTGTCCCCATAGTTACACGTAGAGCTTCAGCAACGGACTATGAGCTTCTCGATAGTCGTTTAGGTAAATCTAAAAGACTGTTAGATACTCCGATATCCATAACTGTGACTGACACACAAGCTGAGCTAGATGGTAACTTAACCTTAAAAAATGATGATATACATGCATTGAGTACTTCTGGGTTATTTTTAGAAGACCAAAGGTTTACTCGTCGAAACAGCTTTCTGTCTTATTCTACAGCTGTCGAGGTCAATCGCAAAGAGGAACAAGAACCTACTGATGATGATAAGCATTTTCATCCATCTGCTGAAATACAAAACAAAATAGTAAGCTCATCTTCATTTTTCAGTGGACTGCAAACAAACGAGTCTATATTACTGGATACGGATACTGATAAACAGAAAATTATGTATAAACGGCTTCCACCTGTTATCGCTTATGACTGGATCAAATTCCCTGCTGGGATTATGGCTATTGGTGTAAAGTATTCTTCACATGTTAGTAGTAATCAAGATCAAATCTTAGTCACACTGCACACAGGTAAAAATCTGCTATCTCCTCGCTTATGGCATAAAACAATTTTTTGTGTTTACTGTACTATATCTAATAAAGAAATCACTCAAACATTCACCGTTCACAGTAAGGAAACCGAATTCGGTTGTCCACAGTTTTTAAATCATAATGAGATTTCAATGAATATACCAGTAAGAAGATGTTCAATCTTAACTGGAACACATGATATTGAAGCACCAAAAATACAAATAAAATTGAAAATTTTTGAATCCATTCCTAAGTGGTCTGGTGACAAAGAATATTATCACGGATCTTGCAGTATGTCAACAGAAGAACTTTCGAACGGTCAAAAGGAATTTGAACACATCGGATGGTATCTAGTTGAAGAAGCGTATCCAGTAAGTTATTGATTTTTTTTACAAAACGGGTCTGATTTCTTCTTCATCACTTTTAACGAAGTAGTAGACAGTTCAACATTACAATTTCTGGTATAGATTGATTAGGTTTACCTGTAAAACGTTTACGAAATATTTAATGATCATAGTTAACTATATAATACTTTAAAGTAGACACCCCACAATAATTTAGGAAAATTTTCAAGGAATAAATTTATCTCAATGATAAAAAATTATATATATTTTTATCAGAAAGAACTCACTACCAAAATATCCGACGGATTGATATCTTAATTAGAAAATGTTGAATCATTATCAACAAAATAGACTTAAGCATCGATAGGGAGCAAATATAAACTTTATATTGAAATATACCTTGAAGTTGGCATCGAAAACTAGAAATGATAACAATCAAACAGTAAGTAACAAGCGCTCCATCCATCCGCTGAATAATTTAGTTTTAGAATTTGTTTGTTAATTTTATCTGATTTACAAGTTCATTGTCAATACGAGTCATTATTTGAACTTCCCTACACTAATCTAACTTACTTATTTTTATAGTATATAAATTCGGTTATCAATCCTAAACCATGAAAAGATCCTATCAGTTTATGTCATCTTAAATAGTTGTTTCTTTTTTCAAAAAATCATAAACGGTTTGTTGTAAAACCGAACTATTAATATAAATGAAGCGATAACGAAATAATGGCTATCCTGATAATTTCGTCAAAAAATACCTCGCACAAAATACTAATAAAAGAAGAAAATATTGCGACACAGTCAGTAAAAAGACCTTATATCTGAGACTTGACTTTAAAGGGGATATAGCGGGTGATATTCTAACACGTCGACTCAAAAGATCTGTCGAAAGGACGTTTCATGCCTCCAAGTTACACATAATTTTCTCGACTAAACCAGTACTCACACAACTAATCAAGGATAAGTTACCGAAAATGGGCTCCTCCATGTGTGTATACCGATTCAACTGCTCCTGTGGAGCTAGTTACATAGGCCGTACTCAGAGGGCTTTATCTTTGCGTGTTCGTGAACATGTATTAGCTTGGTTGGGAAAAGGAGTTACCAAATCGATCGACAGCACCATTCTTTCTCACTTGGTAGATAGTGAGCATCATATCAAAATAGAGGAAGCTTTCTCTGTTTTATATCAAGTTCCAAAATATCTACCTCAAGGAGCCAGATTACGACTACTTTACATTGCCGAAGTCATCTGGATCAACTCCAGAAGATCTAATTTATATATCCAGGAAAAAATATCCAGCCTCTTTGTTTACCTTGGCCTACGACTGGATCATCGAATACCTAGACTGAATATTATAAACCTCTTACCCCCTTCTTTTATTTTTATTTATTTAATTTTTTTCCTTATTATCATTGATTTTGATTATCTCTATCTTAGTCTTCACATTCATCATTCCTAATTCGTTCATCGTAATTACCTTGATAACACCCTCCTAATTACATATTATATTCACACAACAATCTTATTATTATTATTATTATCTCAATTGACAAGATTAAATTCTTCTACTATGCATTTTATTGACACAATTTTTTTTTGCATTTTCATGTTATGCTATAATACTATTCTACTTTACACTTTACTCCAAATCATTCCAACCTATACTAAATGACATTTCTAATTTGCAAATAACACAATTTTGAAGTGTATATGTCGTAACAGATACAAACGTTTACCATTTTAACACGTAACATTGTCAAATTCATTAATACATGCCTTATATTTGGCCTTTGTAAAATATTATAATTATGGATTTATAACTGTAGAGCCTGATGATGAAGTTAATGAAAACATTTGTTCGCTCAAATATTCTTCATTTTTGAAGTGATAATAATTAGATGATTAAAATAACCCATAATGTCATTGAATAAGAAAAAGAGATTTTCAGCGAAGAAAAGTTTTCTTTTCGACGAAATCATTTATTTTAGCTGTACATTCGTATATATAGTTATATGGAAAATATATGTCGATAGGAGGATAAAAAATAAAAATAATATATTTGTAATATCCCAATGAGTAGAAAATTGGATTTTCTGACGTTTCGTGACTTAGTGTAAGTCACTTCTTCAGAGAATAATGACACCTACAAACTCATTAATAACAGGAGGATAGAAAAGTTTATATCACAAAAATGTATTCGAGAATATATAATAAATGAGGTTACGTACTAATCAATGGGTAAGGAGGAAAATAATTTATGGGTCAGATAATAGTCCAACTGACAGATATGAAGAAAAGCGACAAACACAAAGGTCATAATAATAGACTGAATAATAATCAAGAAAACTTGCATAAAGTAGTAATAATAATAAGTCATTAGAGTTTTAAATGCAAAACAGTAATTTAAAAAACTCACTAATACTCAAATAAAAGTGCAGAAAAACAAACAAACAAAAAACCCAGAAACATACCCATTAAAGGAATTAGAGCCAAGAAAGGATGAGAATTTGGACAAATCGTTTCTGCACGCAAAGTTCAGGCTTGAGTTCATGAATTGCCAATGACTCAGCAGTGCATAAAATATTGATTCGACCTCCCCCATTCGATCCAGTTCCTTTGACTCTGTAGATTACTTTAAAAGAAGAGTCCTTTGGAGCGATGTGTCAACAGTTAATTAAATGCTCCTGTATCGAACTAGTAATTGTTTTGCATTCTCCTTTTAAGAGCTAAATCGGATAGTGTTTCGAGATGCGTTTGGACGACGATCGATTTGTTAGGCCTATGTAACGTGCCCCACACGAGCAAGTAAATTTATAAATACACATTGATGTGGCTCAAGACGGAAGTTTATCCTTAACACATCCCCGAATGGTAGGTTGGCTAGAGAAAACAATTCGTAGCTTAGCTGCGTAGAATGTTTTATTCAACGATAAATTATTTTCTTCCTTACCCCTTGATTAGTACGTAACCTCATTTGTTATTTATTCTCGAATACATTTTTGTGATATAAACTTTTCTATCCTCCTATAGACATATATTTTTTCCATATTTACTATATGTACGAATGTACGGCTTAAGTAAATGATTTCGTCGAAAAGAAAACTTTTCTTCTCTGAATCCTCTTTTTCTTATTCAATAACTTGATGATTTTATTAACGCTTCTTTTGACAACTCTAGATTTCTAAAGAAAACTTATTAATGATTAAAGAAGTATTAATGATAATTGATATAATTGATATAATTTGTTTCCCTTCAGTTATAGTTTTCGGTATCAAAGAAATAACGATAGAGCTTTATTATAACTGTTCATCTTATAAAGTATAATTTATCCCTTAGTAACTGTAATGTTTCTTGATTGATAATTAACAGATATCTACTGTCAAGATATTCACAAACTAAGAAAGTTATAGAATCTACATTTGTTAATATAAAGTAATTTTTATTATTCTAGAATGTTAATTAAATTGTAATAAAATGATAGCTTTTTGATGAAGTTTTGTTTTTTGAGCTGGATGGTTTAGTCGTGACCAACTCATCCACCTGAACTACAAATCTTCCCCATCATCTCAAAATGATAACTATCTCATTCTTCCTTTTTACTGAATAGTATTGTTTTAACATTTCAAAAGATTATTTCTATCAATGTCATTATATTGAGATATTTTTGTTTGTTCATTCAATTCATTATTATTACTAATCATGGAATATTGAAAATTTCCAAATTTTGTTTTATATATTTTAAATTATTGAGTATTATAGTATACTTGTCACCACTTACTTACTTACTTACTTACTTACGCCTGTTACTCCTCGGGAAGGAGCATAGGCCGCTCACCAGCATTCTCCATCCAACTCTGTCCTGGGCAATCCTTTCTAGCTCCATCCAGTTGTAATTCATCGTTCTCATATCTGCTTCTATTATCCGACGCAATGTGTTCTTTAGCCTTCCTCTCTTTTGCTTCCCTTCAGGATTACAAGTTAGCGCTTGCCTCGTGATGCAGATTGATGATTTGCGTAATGTATGTCCTATCCATTTCCATCGTCTTTTCCTAATTTCTTCTTCAGCTGGAAGTTGGTTTGTTCTCTCCCACAGAAGGCTATTGCTGATGGTATCCGGCCAATGGATGTTGAGTATCTTGCGTAGACAGCTATTTATAAATACTTGTACTTTCTTGATTGTGGTTGTTGTAATTCTCCAAGTTTCAGCTCCATACAGTAGAACTGCCTTGACGTTGGTATTGAAGATTCTCACTTTGATATTGGTTGAAAGTTGTTTTGAGTTCCATATGTTCTTCAATTGTAGGAATGCGACCCTTGCTTTGCCAATCCTTGCCTTTACGTCTGTATCTGAACCTCCTTGTTCATCGATGATGCTTCCTAGATATGTGAAGGACTCTACATTTTCCAGAGTTTCGCCATCAAGAGTGATTGGATTGTTGTTTTCCGCCTTGAATTTGAGGACTTTGGTTTTCCCTTTGTGTATGCTGAGGCCTACTGATGCAGAGACTGCTGCCACACTGGCTGTCTTTGTCTGCATCTGTTCATGTGTATGCGATAGAAGGGTTAGGTCATCTGCGAAGTCCAAATCGTCTAGTTGATTTTGAGCTGTCCATTGTATTCCGTGTTTGCCTTCAGATGTCGAGGTCTTCATAATCCAGTCGACCACCAGAAGGAAGAGGAAGGGAGAGAGTAAACAGCCTTGTCTTACTCCGGTCCTTACTTGGAATGCATCTGTCAGCTGTCCTCCATGCACGACTTTGCACTGTAGTCCGTCGTATGAGTTCCGGATAATATTGACAATCTTCTCAGAAACTCCGTAGTGTCGAAGAAGTTTGCATAATGTCCTCCTATCTACACTGTCGAATGCCTTTTCATAATCAATGAAGTTGATGTATAGTGATGACTTCCACTCAACTGATTGTTCGACGATGATCCGTAGTGTTGCAATTTGGTCTGTGCATGTCCGATCCTTACGGAATCCAGCTTGTTGATCTCGAAGTTGGGCGTCTAATGCATCTTTCAT